CTGAATAAACACATCTTTCCGGTAACCGCTGTGCGCAAACAGCGACAGGGCCCGCCCCGGCTCTGAGGGCGCCGCCCCCCCCCTTCCTCCGCCCTGCTCGGATTCCCGAGAGCTGCGTCACCGCGTTGCGCGCGGCCCCGGGCGGCGTCTGACGTCACGACCTCTCCGCCAATCAGCGGGCGGCACCGCGCCGCTCTTCGCCAATCAGCGGCGGGCGGACGCGGGGGGGAAGCAGAAGGAGAAGGAGCGCGGAGCCAGCGAGGCGGCGGCACAAAATGGCGGCGGCGACGGCGGGCGGTGCGGGAGGCGGCGGCAGCGGCGGCCCCGCGGGCCCTCAGGCGGCCGGCGCGGTTCCCACCCCGGCGCCGGGCTCCGGCGCGGTGCTGATCGGCGACCGGCTGTACTCAGGCGTGCTGATCACGCTGGAGAACTGCCTCCTGCCCGAGCACACGCTGCGCTTCACGCCGTCCATGAGCAGCGGCCTGGACCCGGACACCGAGACCGAGCTGCGCGTCACCGGCTGCGAGCTCATCCAGGCGGCCGGGATCCTGCTGCGGCTGCCGCAGGTGGGTCTGGGCCGCGGGTGGGGAGGTTCTGGGAGCGGGCCTGGCCCGCTTGGGCTCTCCTTTGTCCCTGGGCCCGCTGTCCCGGTTCCAGGCCGGGAAGGCCGCGGGGCCGCCCGGGGTGGCGGGGGGCGCCCGGGGGCCGCTCAGGGACCGATCGGGGGTCGTTCGGGGCCTTGCCCGGCCTGGCCGGGCCGCGGAGCGCCGGAAGCGGGTGATGTCAGCGCCTTTCCTGCGCCGCCCCCGCCGCCTCTGCTGTGATCGGGGATTGTGCAAAGACGGATTTCTTTTGAGTCGTGACCTCGGGAGGCTTTTGTTCCCCTGGAGAACTTCGGGCCCAAACGGCCTCGTTGCTCTCTGAGCGTTAAAACTTTCCAGGCGTTTCCCAGCTGCCAGGCCTCAGCTACTCAAATATATGCAAATCATAATGTTATTAGTTTCCATTTCTCTTTCCACGCCCCAAAATCAAAGTTTTTCCGGTATATCCTCATAACTTTCAGTTTTATTGAGTTTTGGGGCTTTTTTTCCCCCTTTAAATCACTATTTATTCAATTAACTTGGAGCATATTTTCATACTTTCTAAAATTTGCAATTTAATGTATGAATTTGGCTTAGAGTATTTATGGTCTTAAGTACTTAAGTAGCAGTTCTAGTTTTCCTTAGATACCACTGAATTTACTCCCATGCTTACCCAGGCTTCTGGGTCCCAAATCTGTAGAAATTTCTCATTGGAACTGCTGGTTTTGTTCATGCCTGTTGTGGTTATCTGTTTTTTGGGTTTTTTTTAGGTGGCTATGGCTACAGGACAGGTGCTATTCCAGCGGTTTTTTTATACCAAGTCTTTTGTGAAGCATTCCATGGAGGTAAGGGAACATTAAATAACGTGTTATTTATATACATAGAACCATATACACCTTTTAATCCTTGATCTCCTTTGGCAAGTTGTCATCTGAGATGTGGCCAGTGTTAGTGGCTGGCCTGGAGGTTATACTTAGAGAACAACATAATTTTACAAAGCTACATAATAATGATTTTTTTCAAGTGTTTAGTATTTCCTTGTTTTAGCACAGTTTTCTCTTGTTGTCCCTCCTTCAGCTGTTGGAAGAGAGATTATATGATACAATATATTATATAAAATACATTATATATTTGTATTTCAGCATGTGTCCATGGCCTGTGTTCATCTGGCATCCAAAATTGAGGAAGCCCCGAGACGGATACGGGATGTGATAAATGTGTTCCATCGCCTCAGACACCTGAGGGAGAAAAAGTAAGCTGAGACTCTGCAATAATATTAAGTATTTGTGTTGTATTTTAATAATTAAACTTCATAATTCCCTGATTTATAAATCAGGGAGCATCTTGAAGAGATCTCGTGAAGGGGAGTTGACACATTTTATTAAGTAATTTTTTTTTAGTGTTGTAAGTACTGATACCTCTTATTTTTACACGAACACAGCCTGCCTATGAGCCCTCTCTGAGGTTAAGATGATCTCCAGAATGTGACCTTGTCTTGCAGAAAACCTGTGCCTCTAATACTGGATCAAGAATATGTGAACTTGAAGAATCAAATAATTAAGGCAGAAAGAAGAGTGTTGAAGGAGTTGGGATTTTGTGTTCATGTGAAGCACCCTCATAAGGTTTGTACTGCCTAAGTTCACTTCATAACCAGTGTTTCCTGTGCTGTAATGCTTTGAGGAGGCTGCCTGACTGCGTGGATTGTACATGATAACTTCAGTTAATTCAGAAAGATTAGTTTCTTACCATCCTGATGTTTTCTTTCTCATTTAAGAGACTCTTACTAATTGGTCTTGTATCACTGCTGAATGACGACGAGGTGGATGCAGGTGCTCAGTATCCCTTGAAGTCAAATTGGATGAGTAGGTAGCTTTGGTGTTAGAAAATGTCACTGTAACATAGATCCTTGAGCAGAAAAGGAATTGGGGACCTGGAGTTGTCACGATCTCTCCTTGTGGAAACATGCTGAGGTATTAAAGCCATCTGAGCTAGTTAGTGGGTTTTGTGTTCTGAAAGTTACACTCAGGTGTGAAGGGCTTGGCTAGAAATGAGACTATTCTCAGTATTGAAGTGTCAAGTATCAGACTAGGGTGATACTAGACAGGTACAACTCCTGCAGGTGTTCAGTTGGTGCTTTATTACCATTAGTATTGTAACTATGGTAAAAGAACTTCCAACTTCTGTGCCAGCAGAACTTGAGATCTTCCTCTTTCCTCCAAAAACTGCTGTTGAAAGTCTTCTTTTTGAGCCTGCTTGGCATCCAGAATTCCCTCTAGTCACCCACCCTGGAGGGCAGCTGCACTTGTTTGTTCATTGGTGTGAACTTTGCCTTTAGTCCTTTTCTTTCTGGCCTCGTTTTCCTTTCAAAGGAAAAGCCCTTCGAGCTGAGCAGCCCAGTGACACCCAGTGTGTTAGATCTGTTCTCTGCACACACTTCCCTCACTGCCCAGTGCAGGCAGCAGTATTTCCTCCCTAGTTGCAGCTAAAAGGAGCCCTGAGGTTTGTAGGAGAACATCCTTAGGTGGCATCCAGGTGAAGACAGGACACCTGGCTGAGGAGGAGGATGGATGGGCTCGGAACGTGGAGAGCTAGGAAGGCCAGAGCTGTGTGGATAAACACTGGGGATGGTGCAAACACTTCTTGTGGAGTGTTGTAGGACTTGAAAGAGGCTGACAGATGCCTCATGGATGTCCCTCTGAAATGAGTTGGTGGCTCTCCAGATGCTCGTTAATAACTCAATAACCCATATCTTCCAGATAATCGTTATGTACCTTCAGGTATTAGAATGTGAACGTAACCAACACCTGGTCCAGACCTCATGGTAAGTTGATTTTCCTTGTTCTAAGAGACCAGAAGGGGCAGTAGCAGAAATATGTCACTTGAGGCACTGGGCAGCATTGCTCAGGAGTGCTTGGGGCCACACCAGACAGATCCACTGTCCCTGGCGTGCCCCAAACTACTTCCCAAATGTTGATCGGCCTCTTAAGTCAGAGGCACTGTTTTAATGGTAAGGTAGCTTTCCACCCTGACTTCTCACTTCCCTCCTCTCTGCTTCCACTTTTCAGCTGAAGGGAAAATGTTGGGGTGGGGTTTAGTGTTTCCTTGGGTTTTTGTTGTTCATGTGTAGTTCAAGTCTGTTGCCAGTGCTGGGAAATGGCTTTTCCCAGGGCTTGAGCTCGATTACAGGTGTATCAAAACCTCAGCACAGACACATTTCTATTATCTATGTGGATAATGCAAGTTGTCAGCTTCTAAGACTGGATAGATGGATAGACTGGATTCTTGTTTGCCAAGAAATGTCCTCTGCCTTATTGCTCTCATTACAATAAATATTTGCTTGGGGGTGGGAAGCTTCTGTAAAATTGCAGGTCTGAAAACTTTTTAACAAATAAATGAACGCTTTGAAACCATAATGCTTTTTAACAATAGCGTGGTGTAAAAACCCTTTTAGTGAGTCCAAAGACCATATTTCTGCTGACTGAACTGTCTGGTACTGTGACCTGTGTGTAGAGAACCAGTTTTGACTTTTCTTTTCTGTACTCTTTTAATCAAAGGGTAGCCTCTGAGGGTAAGTGACTAAGACTTCTCCTCTGCTGCCCATGGTGCAGGGATAGCTGCCGTCTTCAGTCAACCCAAAGCTCTCCAAAGAGAAGGCTGGCTCTAGACAGGTGGTATATACATGATAGTAGAGTAACTGGCCAACTGCTTCTTGTGCTTATACTTTTATTTTTTTATTGTGCATTTTTGACTGTTTGTATATTTTTATAACCTGACTGTCGAAGTTACGAAAGGGTTTTAATGTTCTATCTCGTAATGCGATGTGTTCTTTAAGTGATAAAGCAAATTTAAGGTGGGGTTTAAGTCTTAAAGGGATGGATTAACACAAAAAAATACGAGTAGTTTGCATTTGTAAACTAGTCAGAAAACATTTGAGTACGTGTTTGAAGCGTGGAGACAAATGTAACACTTAGAGACACTTCCTGACTTCCCAGTACCATTGCATGGAGTACTGGAATGTGAGGTATGGACTGATCACTGCCAGTTATCTGCTTGTAATGGGAGGAGGAGGGGAGGAGGAGGGAGGGAGTTACCCTGCTAGAGAAATGGGTCAGATGTTACAATAACACATCTCTTGTGCTCATGTTGGTTGCTTCCAGTACCTGCAAACTGGTGGGTATCCAGTATAGCTGGTTTTTGAAATGTGCATTTTTCACAGCTTTCCCTTTTTCTTAAAATATTGTGACAAGGATTCATTTCCCCACATGTCTGATTCTGAGCCCACAGGGAAGGTGTGCAGAGGCCAAACCTGGAGCAGGCATGTCTTTCAATTTGGCACATTAAAAAAAAGGCTGTGTGACTTCCAGCTGAAGTTCCACTTTATCTCTTTTTTTTTTTTTTTTTGACCAAAAGGTTTGTGCTCTCTTTGTAGTGGGACAAGAAAAGTAGGTTTTGAAGTTCTTTTTTTTCCCAGAAAGATGAGCTGAATGGGTAGTGTTGCTTCTCTGGGGTAGCAGTTGTTCTTTGTGTAAACAGGAATGTAGGACAAGTGGGAGTTGGATACTCTTGGGATTCAAGTTCCTTTGTCTGCCCTTGTAAACTGATTGCAGATGTCTGGCCTGTGGTCTCTGCTTTGGATGTCTTGGGGATCAGTGAATCCTTGTATACTGGGTACCCACACGGTTAATTACTACTTTAAAACATAATATTTTGAGGACTTCTATTGTGTCTGGTTTTAGTTTTTCTCCATCTGATATTTTGCTTGATATAAGTGCTCAAAAACTAGATCTCTTAAAGCACATCAGCTGAGAGATTCAGAGGAGGTTACTTTGTGTATTTAAGATTTAGCAGGATAATTCTTAAGTGTACTGACTGGAATATGTGCAATATTTTACAGTTTTCTCATTCTGTGAATATTCATTTTAAGCAACCTTACTGAAATGGGACAATTTGGAAACCTTATTTCATGTGCCAAAGAGGAGATCTGCCCGAATACTGACTGTTATCCTGAACTGACGTTCCCAAACAACCTGATTTCTTCTATGGCTGATTTTTTGCATCAAAAAGAATTCTGTTCTGGATGGAAAAATCCTGCTTCTGAAGGAAATGGACCCCTTAAATCCCAGTGGGAGTTGTCATGTGCCGAAGAGGACTGCACTTTCCTGGGACAGCTACTGAAGGAGCTGCAGCTTTTGCCAGACATCTGGTTCTGCCCTATTGCAGGGAAACATGTGAACCTAAAATTCTATAACTGAGTACTCCAGACCATATTGTTTGTTGTCCTGATGAAAATAACTTGTCTATTGCATGAGAGCAGGCCAGTAGAGATCCAGCAAGGAAAAGTGAAGTTCAAATTGGTTCTCTTCTCACAGCTGAATTTTCAGCAGTCAGTCAGGCTTAATTCCTGTCACACATCCCTACCCTTGAGGGATTTACTTTAGTTTTTCTTTTTTTCCAAGTAAAAAAAAAAAAAAAAAATCATTCAACTTCTCTTTATAGAGTTACAGGACTGTAATGTTGAAGTCTAGTAACTGAATGCAGAAAGAAATAGCCCTCGTAGAGGTAAAACCAAAAGAAATAAAACAACAAAACAAACAAAAAAAAAACCCCAAAGAGCTTTGCAGTGCCTTGCAACCTTCTGCTCTCCTGTCTTCCAGGAACTACATGAACGACAGCCTGAGAACTGATGTCTTTGTGAGGTTCCAGCCAGAAAGCATTGCCTGTGCATGCATTTACCTGGCAGCCAGGACTCTGGAGGTGAGCCAGGGTTTTCCATGGATTTGGGAGGGGGTTTTAAGCCTCCTCACAGGAGCAGAAAGCTGAGGGTGTCTCCGTCTCTGCCTTTCAGATCCCGCTTCCCAATCGCCCGCACTGGTTTTTGCTGTTCGGAGCGACGGAGGAAGAAATCCAAGAAATCTGCTTAAGAATTTTGCAGCTCTACACAAGGAAAAAGGTTTGTTTCTTTTGCATGTTGGGAGCCCTCACTTAGAAAAAAACCCCTTTGTCCTGTTTGAAACCAAGGCTGGTTTTGGGAAGGGAACATGAAGGGAACAGGGAATAGTCGCTGTCCCCGTGAGCGAGCGAGCAGGAAGTTCAGTTCACTAAGTGTTGTCACCAGCAAGTGCTCCTGTGTCCACAGGTGGATTTGTCTGACCTGGAAAGTAAAATAGAAAAGAAGAAATTAGCTATTGAAGAGGCAAAAGCACAAGCTAAAGGGCTGGTACCTGAGGGAGTCCCGAGTTTGGATAACACATCAGGATTTTCCCCTGCCCCGAAAAATGGTAAATAGTGGATAACTCGGTTTTAATAACTTTCTCATCTTTCATGTATATTTACCCCTTGGGGATGCATTTACAAGTGTGGTTTGGGGTTGGTTGGGGATTTTTTTTCCAGGCTGGCTTCTAGCTACTGTTCAACTGGCAGAGTTTGAATAGCATTGCAACTTTGTGATTTCTTGAATCAGATAAAAGCTAAAATCAAATTAGTCTAAAATTAAGACTAGTTTAAACTCATAGAGTGCAGGGGCTTGTTTTTATGTGGTTTTGGCAATAAATACTTGCAACTGGCATGTTATGCTAAAGCAGTATTAAAGCAGAGGTGTGTTAGGAGCTCTGGCAGGAGTAACATTTTGGGGTGACTGGTGGGGAATATTTTCCTTCACTTCTTGGTTGAAAGTTTCCAGTCTGGTGCCAGTCTTGCCTAGAAGGTAACATTTACCATCGTCTCCCCTCAGTTTACCTTTAAAGTGATACTGAATAACTGGCAAGAGAAGGAAGTTGCTGTTCTGCCTCCAGTTCACTCCTTGGGTGAAACATTTGGCAAAAAGTTTCAGATTAACTTCTGCTTTCTGTGAACTTGTTCAGATCTGTTTGTGGGTGGTTGTGTGTGTGGAAAATGCAGCTGTACAGTTCTGATCCTTGCAGAGGTGGTGAGATGGGGCAAGGGGAGCCTTCAGTCCTTTCAGGTACTTCCCATACTTGCAAAATAGGTAACAAAGGCTTGTTTTTCCAGAGTCTCCAAAGGAGGTTAAAGGAAATAAACCTTCCCCACTACCTGTCCAGGCAATGAAGAATGCTAAAAGGAAAACAGAGGGAGCCAAAAGAACGAGCTCCAATAGCCCAGTAAATGGGTAAGGCCTTATAAGGAAGCAGCTTATTTCTTCCCACGAGTACTTTGAGCAAAATAACTGAGTGTTCATTGTCTCTTGCAGTGTCCAGAAAGGGAGGGAGAGCAGAAGTCGGAGTGGGAGCAGAGATCAGAGTTACTCCAGATCAGCCTCGAGATCTGCATCCCCTAAGCACAGGTATGTGCTGCTGCACGGGGGGGCTGTGCTGGGACACCCTCCCAGGCTGGGATTTCACAGTGGTTTGTCCCCAAGAGGCTGTGAAGTGACACAGCAGTGTGTGCTGCCAGTTAAACTCCAGACTAAACTCCAAGCTGGGGCGTTTTGGTGGCAGTGTCACTGTAACTGAAGCTGGAGAAAGGGATACAAGTTCCTAAACATTTCTCCAGTAAGCAGATGTTTTAGTGTTTGGCGTAAAGTTTCGGATTAACTTCTGCTTTCTGTGAACTTGTTCAGATCTCTTTGTGTGTGTGGAAATTACAGCTGTACAGAATGAAGATGTCACAATTTAAGAAAGTCATGTTTTCTCTCCTCTTTTTTCCTAGGAAAAGCGAGAGTTACTCCACCTCCAGCGGCTCCAAATCCCACAGCCGCTCCCGGAGCCGCAGCGACTCCCCCCCGCGCCAGTTCAACCACAGCTCGGGCTACAAAGGCTCCAAGGTGAGGAGCTACAAGAAATCCAAAGACTACAAATACTCCACACACAAACCCCGCAAATCCCGCAGCCGGAGCTCGTCCCGCTCCCGCAGCCGCTCCCGGGAGCGCTCCGACCACTCCGGCAAGTACAAGAAGAAGAGCCACTACTACAGGAACCACCGGCACGAGCGCTCCCGCTCCTACGAGCGCGCCGGGCACCGCTACGAGCGCGAGCACCCCGGGCACAGCCGGCACCGCCGCTGAGGGCACCCCCTGCTCCTGCAGCCTGGCCTTCGAACCACCTCGCTCCCTAAGGTCCATCCTGCTGGAGCTCCCTGCTCCTTCCTGAATCCAAAGGGTCAGGGGCTCCGTGGGAGAGATGTCCCGGTGACTGTTGTGCTGGAGCGTCACCCGTCCTGCTCTTTAGTGATTCCCATCCCGTAGCGTCCTGTCTGGGACTTCCACTTCCCTGTGGCTCAGCCCTTGGAATGCTGTGCCCTGTGGAACTGGAAGGCCCCCAGGCAGTTCCTAACCCCTGGGAGTGGCTCTGGTGCTAACAAAAGCTGTCTTTTCATACTGACTCTGGTGTTGTACAGATGGGGGGTGACTTTTCTAGCCCTGTTGCCTATATTAGGTTCTATGTGTATATATATTTTGCAGTGTTACAGTACAATATGGAAATATGGCCTTACTAGCCTTTACACTTTATCCACAATTGTAAATAAGCATTTGTTTAATACAGGTGAAGATATATACAGAAAATTCAAAACTTGAATTCTATAAAAAAACAAACCCTTGTGTAGAAAATTCTGATAAATGTGAAAGTATTTAGCTCTGTGCATTGAGAGTAGTATATTTTTATCTGTGCAATGCTGTGTGCAGGCCACCAGCTCATAAGACATTTCCTATATATACATTTTGCGTGGTTTGAAATTCTTTACTCAGGATCTTTGACACTCTGAAGAATTAGTAGTTTGTCAATCTGCATGCTTGTTGGAGAACAGAGCGTTTAAAAGCCAATTAGCAGACCCCCACAGCCCAGTAGTATCAGTTCTAGTGGTATATCTGAGCTGTTACTCTCTCATGCTCCCTGATTTCATTAAAGTATTTGATTTTCTATTAAATTTACTTGATAGTAGTTTCTTATGAGCTACACCCCTGTGCCTACTCATAAGGAAAGAAATTTGGGGCTGGATGATTGTCAAATTGTAGTGGGCTTAAAACATCAGATTAAATCCCTGTTCCCTCGAAGTCAGGAATTTTGGGGCATTCTATTAGTTTAGGCACCTCTCCAGTCAATCCCAAATGTAACATCCCCCAATCCACAAAGATCTGAGCTGGGAAGTGCCTTTCCCTGCCTCCAGGTGTAGCTGGCAGGTTCCAGCTGAGGTTCCTGAGCAGGGCTGGGACATCTTGGGAAGTCGGTGCCGCTGCTGAGCACAGCGGAGGTCCCGTGGCTGGAGCTGGCAGAAGAGGAGGAGCTGAAATCAAAAATAAACCTGAAATTAAAAAGGCCCAAGTTTTTATGAGCCTGCACATACAGGTCTCAGCTCTGGAGGTGAGTTATGACTTTGTTGTCTCAGCGTCTGATGACTCTTCCAGGGTTCTTGCTCATCAGAACATCTCAGGTTATTCAGTGATCCCCATTCCTGGTGTTCAGATCCCAGACACAAAGAGGTCACTAAGCAGTTTTATGCCCGACTGGGATTTTTTGAAAGACTCTGCAAACCCACCAGAATGCTTTGTTGTCACATAGGGAGTTGGGAAATGCACACCTGGGAGGGAAGGTAATGGATTAAAGCACCTGGAAAAGAAGTGTGTTGAGTGTTTGTGAGACAGAGGTGGCTGGAAAGGAGCTTTATTGGGAAGAAAAGCAGGTTTGAGTACCCAGGGCAGCCTTTCTTGCTGGCTTCTGCCACCTCCAGTGTGTGCACAGGGATGAGCTTTTCCCACCAGCTTTGGGGACCTGGAATCCAGGCTGAGCCAGGAGCTACTGGTCATCTCTGCTCACAGCCAACACTTGTGTGTCTGAGGACCTGTCTGGAAGTGTCCTGTCACCCTCCTCTCGCCCTGGGAGTGGGACGGGAACATTTGAACCTTCGGACACTTCCAGATATTTAAGTACATCCTGTACGTTTTTGGAGCTACTGCAGTTTCTTAGAAATAAATCAAAAAATGGGAAACGGGGCACACCCAGCAAATGTTTGAGGCTTTTCCACAGAATTTTAACAAATTGCAAAACTTCTTTGTGGTTTTGTCTCCCAAGTCTGAGGGGAGAGGCTATCCCTGACCTCTGTCAGGATGGAGTTAATATTTTAAGAGCTCAGTGAGCTTTTAATAAAGAAAATACAATATTGTGCCAGCAGATGTAATTAAAGCCTCTATCCCTGCACATACCAGGTTCTGTATGAGTGTGTGGATCAGGAGTAGGTTGTTGATGTGGGATGGCACACGCAAGCTCTGTGGGGAATATGTGTGAGAATTAGCAAAGGTAGGGCTGCCTGTGGTCAGGGCTCTCTTTGTTCCCTGCGGGAGTCTGTGGAGCGGGGCTTGGGAGCGAGATGGGCTCGGGGCTTTGTGAGAGGGGGAAGAGCAGATCCACCTTCCTCAGTCCGAGCCCGTTCCTTCCCTACCCCGGGGGAGGCGCCGGGCGGGGGCGGGACCGGGACGGCTCCGCATCGCGCAGGTTGAGAACCGCGTGTGGGTGAGAACTGAGCCGGGAGCGCGGCGAGCCGGGACCAGCCGGGCCGGGACCAGCTGAGCCGGGACCAGCCGGGCCGAGCCGAGCCGAGCCAGCCATGGCCCAGCCGCGCTGCCGCTCCGTGCTCATCACCGGCTGCAGCCGCGGCATCGGGCTGGGGCTGGTGCGGGGGCTCGCGGCCGCCACCCCCTCCCCAGACTTCGTCCTGGCGACCTGCCGGGACCCTGAGAAGGCGCAGGTAACCGGGCCGGGGGCGCAGAGGGTCCCGGGGGGCGGGTAACGGGGGCGGAGGCGAGGAGAAGGCACTTTGGGAAGCGCGGAACATCTCGAGCATCTCCGCGCCCGAGCGCCGGCAGCGAGTGCCCGGGGTGGAATTGGATGGAGCTGGGAATGGGATGGGATGGGATGGGATGGGATGGGATGGAGCCGGAGGCTGAGTTCCTGCCCGGGGCAGAGGCCGGCGCGGATGGAGTCGGTGCCGGGGAGGTCTCCGAGGCTGGAGCAGGGGGATATCACCGCTCGGGAGCGTTCCCGGGAGGAGCAGAGCGAGCGGGACACTCCGCAGCCCCCGAGCATCTCCAGCGCTCCTGCTGCCCCGCTCCTCTTGTCCCCGAGTTTCTTGCTGGATTTGCAGCGGGAGATAAGTCTGTTTTGCACGGAGCCGGAGCCCTGCAGGGGTAGCGCATCCCTCAGAAACATTCCCAGTGAGACCCGTCACAGCTTTCCTTGTCTCTCCACGCGGTGTGTCTGTGTCCCTAGAAGGGGCTGTGCCCCGTCTGCCTCCTCTCTTTCTCCGCTGCACTTGCAACAGCGAGGAAGTGCGAATGAATGATTAATTCAACACTCAGTGAACTCCACGCTCCTCTCAGTCCCCCCTCGGCCGGGCAGGGCCCAGCATTTTCTGCCGAAAACAGCAGCTTTTCTTACCTGCTGCTGGTGGGTCCACTTGCAGCCCTGTTCCCTTGCAGCCCACGTCCCTGCTGCTACAGGGTGCTGGGACTCCTTCCCCATCCCTCAGCTGCTATAAATGACTGTCAGACAAATTTGGGAGGCAAAATGATGAGGGTTATCAGTCACTTTGTGGCCTCTAGTGATGCATCTCATCTTGACTCTCCTCAGTAAGGTGAATTTAGGGCAGCACAGTCATATGCACAGGTACCACCCTCTTCCTGGTGCTCCAGAGCTGCAGGAATCTGAGCTCTTGGCTCTGTGACTGTCTCAAACCCCTCTGTGATGCCACAGGCATTTGGTAGGAGAATTGATACCCAAAGCCCTATTTCTGCATCTGCCCTGTTTCAAGGGAAAAGAGAATTCCCTGGCACGTGCAGAGGTGAACAGAACCTGCTCCTTCTGGTGGATTTGATTCCTTTCACACGTGGTGTGATCACACCATGCCAGCAATAAAACAAACACAGCCACTTTGCTTACTGCTTAGCTACATAAAACCTTAAAAATGTGGTGCTGAGGGTCTCCTTCAAGGGTGTGGTGCAGGGTTGGTCAGGTAACACCTGCACCCTGACCACCAGGAGCTTCTGCTGCTCTGCTTATGAAACTGCAGGGAAAAGTCTTAATTTCCTTTTTTTCCTTGTAAAATAAAAAAATCTCTCCAGCACAAAAGCACATTTAGGATATTTCTGAACAGAAGTGCTGCGAAACAGCCCGGCCAGGCTGAAATCAGGTGCACAGGCTGCCTTTCAGAGCTCTGGTCCCTGTTGGCTCCCCCTCACCCCCTCCTGCACCACCTGAGCTCCTGAGCAGGAATCCACTGCCATTCTGTTCCCTTTTAACTCCTGTTCCCACACCTGGCACCTGTCCCAGCCTGTTTCCTTTGGTGGTTGCACAACCCCTGTGCAGCAGCAGCCCAGGAAAGCAGCGGAGACATCTGACCTGTGTCAGATAGAGATCTCCCCGCCGGGTTGTTTGTTCTGAAGCCGCTGCTGAGGGAGGTTCTTTCTCTTTTTCACCGACTGGCCCTTGTGTTCAGCAGTGATTTCTCACTATAATGGTCTGGGATCAATTACATGGAGAAGCAAAATTGTTCCTTCAATAGGAAGAGCTTCCTAGGAAACGTTACACGGACGTATCTCAACGCAACTCGTTGGGTTTCTTGCGTTGTCAGTACCTAAAATTCTCGAACAAAAAGGCTGGTAAAGCTGCACAAGGAGATTAAACAGCCTTCAGACAGTGCAGGGTGTCTGGGAAGAGTCTGGGTCACTCCTTGCCTGCGGTAAAACCTGGAAAGTCTGCTGGCAGTGTGTCCTGTAGGCAGGAAGCTGGCCCAGAGCCACATTCCAGGAACCCCAGCGGGGATTCTGCAGGACACATGGGGTGCATCCTAAGCTTTTTGTTTTCTAGGGGGGCAAGGTTTGTCCTTGGTGGATCAGGGTGGGTTTTTGTTCTTTGTGAGGACCTCTAGGCCATGTGCTGTGCTTTGGCAGGACATCAATAGAAGCCTCTGCAGCCAGCTGAAAGCAGATTTCTAACAGATGGGTTTGGAAACGCCACAAGGGAGAGAAATCTTTACTGAAGGTACTGTGGTGGTTTCACCAGCGTTATCTGCCCCATCTGCAGTGCCTGGAGTTGGCACAAAACCTGGTGACCTCCTGAGTGTTTGCACTGTGCTGCTGGTCCTTGGGGCTGGCACAGGGCGAGCAGGGACCTGCTGGAGCCTCCAGCACTGGGAGTCTTGTTCGTGGGAGCACAAATCCAACTGGTGATCTCCAAGCTTGGATCCAGCCTGGCAGGGTTGCTGGAGTGTTGCTGTGGTAGGAAAGGCAAAGGTTCAGTGATTTTCTCTTGGTTTTTTTGGTTTATTTTTTTTTTTCTTTCCCAAAGAGAAACCTTTGCCTTCATTGACTTTTCCATCAAATCTTGAACACCCTGAGTTCAGGTTCCTGCTCTCCAGAGGCTGGCACAGCAGGCTTGGCTTAGGGCACATGAAATGGGCTTTGCCCAACTAAGACCTGCTTGTTGACCGTTCAGACTGGGCTGCAAAGTTGAGTGAGTTCTTTCTCTGCACACCTGAGTGTCAGTCCTTGCTTTTTCTCTTGACAGCAATTGAAGTCTAATTTTGTTTCCTCCCACTTTGCTTTGTGGTAAGTGACCATATGAAAAATCCTTCTTAACATGAGTGCACTGTCCCCCACTTCCTCTCCTGCTTTAGAGGATGAACAGCAACTCTGGACAGTTCCTTTAAATTCTGCTCTGCTCTGGTTTGGCAGAGGAGCATTTTCCCATTGCAGAAAGCAGAGGAGAGGGAAAGAATGGGAAAAGCTTAAATTAAGAGGCTTTTAAAAATCACCTTCCAGTTTTTAGAGGAAAAGTGATTAAATATTCTTAGCTGCTGGCACAGACAGTGTCCACCTTGGGCAAGAACGTTTCAGCAGTGATGACTGAACACTTTGCAGTCCTCCAAACACTGGACACAGAGAAGAGCCCTTCAAGACCTGACTTGAGGAAGATGCTGGGGAAGGCTGACTTTGCTTTCCTCTGCTTACCAGGGAAAGCAGCACATCTCCTGTAACTCCCTAACCTTGGGATAATGCTGAACAGCTGCAGGCTTTTGCATGTGAGTCTGTGCTGGCAGAAGTTGTAAAAACTCGAGTTCTTGTGCTGAGTAGCTCCTAGGTGGCCTCCCCAGAACATTTGCCTAACAAATGGGCTGCAGATCACACGATAACAGGCAGCAGGCCCGCAGGCACATCCAGATAACCGCTGCCCCTCCTGGAAAAGTACCATCGGGAGACTCCTCCAGCCACACTTGGATTCCAATCTGCCTTCACTTGGGCTGCTCCAGCGCTGCGAGTGGAAGCAGCTACAAATCTCCTGCAAAATAATCCTGACGTCCTGCCTTTGCACTCCAGATGGACCAAACCACGGCTCAGCCTGCACGGGCTCACGGACACGGCTGTAATTGTCCCCACGCTCCTGCTTTTCTTTCTTACTCTTTCCTCCCCCATCCTGCTTTCCCATCAAAGGGGAAAAACTCTGACCTAAAGTCCAGAACCGCACTTAAAACCGGTGTAGCCCCTTCAGTCTCTGCTCTGAGGGGGGGAAAGGAGGAGATGGCCACGGTGGAAATCTGTTCCCAGATTTCTGGGACCTCAGCACGGGAGCATCCCCCGTTCCTCCTGCTCTCCCCGCAGCCCGAGTGAGTTCCCAGGTGAACAAGGAACTGTTCAGCTCCTCACTGCTCAAGGGTCCCCTCCAGAGCTCTGGAAAGCTTCCAGGGCCTAATGTGCTGTTTCCCTTGCTCTGAAGCAGGAGATAGGGTTACCTGTGCCTGTTCCCCGGGCAGACACGGAGCTCTCCTGCTCCTCGTGGGCTCTGGCAGCTCGGAGGTTCTTTTTTTCCCCTTTGTCCATGTTTTAGCCGTGTGGTTTGCAACTGGGAAGAGCAGCTGAGCGGTGATAGATGTGTTATATCAGGCGAAGGGGGCATTCCTGAATATATATCAGGCAAAGAGGGCATTCTTGAAGTCTTTCTAATTTATTGCAGTATTGCTGTTTTGGTTGGTTGGTTGTTTTTTTTTTTTTTTTCCTGGAAGTGTTTTACACTTCCTACAGCATTAAGGTCTGGCTTTTCTTGAGTCAGAGAGGACTGTGGGGCTGGGCAGTGCTGGTGGAAGCTGTTACACACTCGAAGCTGTACATTGGGATAGGACATAATCTGTCTCAGAGGGACACAGAGGATACACCTCTGGCTTTGTCCTGAGTGCAAGCAGGATGATGTGGAGGATACCCAGGCACCCTCATCCTGACAAAGCTGCCCACAGGCTGTGTTTGTGTGGCTTGATTGCTTCCAACTGGCCCAGCAGAGCCAAATCCTTTCCAAGGGCTGTAACTGGAGTGGATAATGCTTTTGTAAAGAAGGCAAAGTAAATCTTGCTAAATGACAAAGGCAACAAAACATTCCTGGTTGAAATCTAGCAATAAATACCCCGTGTGCTGAGGAATCTGTATCTGGAGCCTTGAGTGCCAGAGGATCTTGTTTAAATCAGAGTAGGCTGACTCTTTGTTAATAGTAATTAAAAATCAGCAAGCAGGAAACAACAGATGCTAATCAGAGTTTAATTTTGTTCTTGGACTCCCTAAGAGGTGATTCTCAGGGGTGACTATTCTGGTGCAGGGCAGTTCTAGAGCTACTATGTTAAACACAGAATTAGGGCTTTGTGTTGTGGGTTTTTTGTTGGGCTTTGTTTGTCTTGTTTGTTTTTAAGTTGGCTGTCACAGCACACTAACTGAAAATGCCTTAGCTGGGAGATGTTGGATGGACCTGCTCGTCTCTGTCCTCCTTTCCTCATGTTCCTCTAGTCACAGAAGGGGAAAAAATAGGCTTTCCTGCAATTTTTAGTTTTCCTAACTGGATTTTTCAGCTTATATCAGGTGTAACATTCTTGAGGACCAAGGTCTAGGTTACCTTTATGCCTGGAAGCTGCTTCTGAGAAACTTTAACCACTGCAGTGGGAGTCACTTGTTAACTAAATAATTAACTAACTGGAAAAACCATTGAATTTTAAACTTGATTTGCCTGCAGTGATTGTAATTTCATGCTGTTTATGTTCTGGAGAGTGCTTAATGCTACAATGTTTGGAGTTCTTAGTAGAAAATATTGCTTACTCACCTCAGAAGCCTCTCAGTTGCTGTTGCTACACAAAACAGCTCTGACCTTTTAGCAGGACTTAGTAGCTTGTTTCTGTCAGAGAATAAAGCATATAAATAAATGAACTATAAATAAATGAACAAACCCTGAGAAGCCAGAGCACTTCTGGAGTTTATTATCAATTAAGTGATATTGTCAAACTGAAATCCAGTGACAGTCCAAAGCCATGTAATTATTGCAGGCCTTGACATGGCAGAACTACTTCATCCTGGACTGTCAATAAGCAAGACAGTGTGTTCTGGGCCTTTAATTTATTGAAAACTGCCTCACTAAGCCCTGTCCAAGGGAAGGAATGTCTTCTGGTTTTGTGCTTCTGACTTGTTCTCCTTGCCCCTCCCCTTAATAGCCTGAACTGCAGTTGCAGATTGGCCTCAGTGGGAGAACAAATTTCCCAAACAAGCCTGGAGAGAATCCTGCAGGATATGAGCTGAGATAAAAGTTGTAATGCATTATAGTTTGTCAGAGGACACCGAGTCCCTGAGTGTCTCCAAGTGGCAGAGAAGTATTCTTTCAAAACCAGCCCTCCTGACCCCCATTCCCAAAGGGCTCCTAAAGAAAGGGATTTGCTTGAGCTGGAATGTTTGGCCAGGTTGCTGTCTCCTGAACACGACTGGGAGTATGCAATCCATCTGTTATGTTTGGCCACGCTTCCCACTTGGCTGCATGGCACAGAAACCTAAGGATTCCAGCTGGGCCCATAAATCCAATTTGGACACACTTTGTCCAGCCGTAACACCACAAAGTCCTGATTTTCTGCAGGAACACCAATCTCTGCTCAGAGGCAGTCAAGAGATGACTGAATTATAGCAGGGAATGTTATTGTTGCACGGAACTGGTTTCATGTGTGCTTCACCTTCAGCTACAAGAACAGATGCTAACGAGGCTGCTGGGGAAGCAGAATTTCCATGGGAAAACTGCTTTTCCTGCAAACAGTAATTCCAATTTGAGCGTTCCTGTTGCCCTGAAGTGATGTGTGGCACTAGCTGAGCTTCAGGAGAATGATGCTTTTCTTACAGAATTGGGGAATTTCTGGCTTTTCACTGGAATGCTGCCTGAGCCCTGGGGCTGCTGTGGAACTGCTGTTTGGTGCTTACCCTGCAAACACACCCTGGAGCTGAACACACTGAGAACTATCCCACCAAAAATCCAGCATGCTGGGATCTGACTAAGCAGGGAAAGAGTCCAGTTTCTTGGAGCAGTTGATCTGGCTCTCAGGAAAGCTGCTCAGCAGGTTGGAAAACGAAGTAGTATCGATGCCTTCAGTCCAGTCATGAAAATATTTCAGTTCTGGAGGTGCAGATCTCAAAATGTTTTATGTAATAGCCATGGAGAGCTTGCTCTCTCTCTCTCTCTCTCTATATATATATATGTATATATATGTAGAAGATAACCAAAAAAATTTCTTCTTCCTAGGAACTCCAGCAGCTTAGTAAGCAGTACAGCAATGTCAAGCTTCTCCAACTGGGTGAGTAAAGGGCTTTATTTCTGTCCATAGAAATATGTTCAACTTCCTCAGGTGAGTGCACCTTAAGAACCCGCTCTCCTGGGTGGTCAGTAGCTGGACATGATCTCCAGTAGCTGAAAACCCCCTTGAGATAACACTGGGGAACCAAAACCTATCTAAAATCTTCTGTGTATTGTCACCTGTGCGCTGCCTAAATGTCCCCACTCAGCTTTAGCTTTGGTTTGGGCACGTGTTGTGTCGTGTCAGGCAGGCTCTGACCCACACTCTTCACCGTGCCTCCTCTGTGCAGATGTGGTCTGTGAAAACAGCATCAAGAAAGTGGTCAAGGAAGTGGAAGAAATCGTGGGGGACAAAGGGCTGAACTGCCTCATCAACAACGCCGGCATCAACGTGCTCGCCTCCTTGGAAGAGGTCACGGCAGAGACGATGCTCACCATCTATGAAACCAACACTGTTGCCCAGCTGATGGTCACCAAGGTAAGAACTGGGAGGAATGTGCTTAATCTGGGGTATTAAAGAGGGTTTTCTCTTATAACCAAAGTGGTTTTCCCCTTGGAACTGCACGGGTACAGTTCTGATGTTGAACTGCGTGTCTGGAGAGCAGCAGTCTGTCAAGGATCTTTCTCTGCATTTAGATCCATCTGGGGTGAGATCACTTCAGTGGACAGGTGGGGTTAGGAGGTGGGTGGAAGAGTCTGAAGGTCCTTGCTACTTCCAGCTGGCTGCTGTAGGAAGGTTTCCTATGGCCACCAAGTGTGAGGAGTCATCACCATTCTGTGCTGGTGGTGCTGGAATTCTTCAAGAGCCTGGCTTGCCTTGAATGGGGAAATTACACAAACTAAATCAAACCAAAATCACAAAATTAAACCCAACTCTTGTTTTCCCAGGCGTTCTTACCCCTCCTGAGGAAGGCAGCCCAGCTGAGCACAGGAATGGGCTGCCACAGAGCTGCTATTATCAACATGTCCTCTCTCGCTGCCTCCATGCAACTCGTCCAGGCAAATGAGATGTTCCTCAAGGTCTATCCCTACAGGATAGCCAAGGTTTGTGGGCTCCCCTGGGCTGAGGACAGGCTGGGAGTTAGAGACCACGCTGAGCTTAGGATGGTGATGGACACAGACACTGTGCTTGTTCTTCGTGTGGGTGGAAGTGGGACCTGTAAAACACCTGGAGCGAGCATGTGAACTTCTGAAGAACAGGCTCCCAAATCACTGCTGTGATTCAGAGGGATTTGGCATTCAGGGAAGAACTGATGCCGTGAAATGTGTGTGCTGTCAGCTGAGTTCCTCTCCAGTGGAGGAGAGAGAGCACAGAACTCAGCAAAAGGTGTGCTGACCTGTACGTGGTGATGCTGGTTAGTGAGAGGTGGGATTTTTAGTTTTCTCACCTCCAGAGACTGAGTTTGTACAGATAGTGAAGATCAGACACAGAGTTTCTCCTACACCACCTACTCATAAGCTGTTAAACGCTTGTTTTCCCTGTTCAGAAGTAAATGAAGGTTTGTGTAGTGATTATTGCAGAAAAACACAGTCCTTATGTCAACATTATTTTCCTCACAGCTCCTCAGGAGTTTCAAATGCTACTGTATCTTCCATCATAACTTAGTTTCGTCTTTGGGCAGTCAATTTGTGGTTACAGAGCTTCCACAATGCTTCTATTAACAGGTGTCTCTGAGAATGAAGGCCCAGTAAGTCTGGATAAGTTACTATGATCTTTTTACTGCCCCTTCCTTTGTCAGAATTGTGGAAGGGAGGTGGCGATTAGCTTGATTTGAGGTCTTGCTTGAGGTTTATAAACCAGCCCCCTAATAGATGGTTTCCTCTCTTGCAGACTGCACTGAACATGATCACCAGGTGTCTTGCTGCAGACTTGAAATCGGATGGAATTCTCTGTATTTCTTTGCATCCAGGCTGGCTCCAGACAGACATGGGTGGAAACATGGTAAGTGACATCTCTGAAAACATGAAAATAGGGCTCCCTTGTTATCCCAAGAGCCCCTGGCACAGTGTTCACCTCCATGTGCTGCAGAGGCACACTGTGAAGCAGGAAAACACATCCCTCTTGATTCTAGCAACTCCTTAAGTGCATTTGATTCTCTTCCGTAGGAAATTCCCAGTAATGAACCCAAGCTTGATTCTTTCCAGGCTCCCATGCAGGTGCAAGAGGCTATCCCAGGTATTCTCTCTGTTCTGGACCGTCTTGGTGAAAAAGAGAATGGTTCCTTCCTGGACTGGCAAGGGGAAACTCTACCATGGTAGAAGTGCACAGGTTACTACAGAAACAGCACGTCAGCCACGCTCTAACCTCTCATGTCTGTGTCTCTGGGGTTTTCTCACACACTAGTTGAAGTAGCCAGTCTGATATCCAGCCTCTCTAGGTGTCTTTGAAAAATGAAGTGGCTGACTCTCTCACTCGGTATTGCTACTGCTCTATTCTAATGCTTCCTGCAAACACTACTGTGCTCTTGGTGGTGGTGGGTATCTCCTGGAACCGTCTGAAATGGATTAAAACGAGTTAAATCCAGGGGCTGGTTCCTCTTCACTTCCAAAACCAAAGCGGGCCTCCTGCTCTCTGCAGAGTTAAATGACCTGACCTCAGAGCAAGGCCAGTGTAGGCTGTCAGATCCCAGGATGCTCAGTCTGCTGGAGACATGTCTCCAGAAAAGAAGTCCTTTGGTTTCCTTCGGTCTTAACTGAGCCAAGGCTGAAAGTGCCCAGCTCTAAACCACGTGAATTTGGTACTTCTGTAAATTCCTTGGCAAACTGTCCCCAGGTTGACAGCGTACACCAGGCATTGCTTTGTTCCCAGAGGGTGACTAACATCCTGATACGGGGGTGGGAATGTTGTTTTGTACATAAACTTCTGAAATGTCTTCAATAAAGTCTTGTTTAAAAAAACAGTCTGTTTACTGAACTACTTCCTTAATTAATTTCTCTTCATTGGTTTCTCTTCCCTGACCAAAGAACTGCACTTCTACCTTGCAAGAAAGAACTCCAGCCACTGGTGTTCCCTTTCAGGCTAGATGAGTTTGACATGGTGGGGTGTAAAACTGAGACAGACCCTTGTTCTGGTCTGAAACACTAAAAGCAGCTGGTGAATAAATCCCTTGTGTGCTGCTGAGGGAGCTATAAAAGCAAAGCGTTCTTTGAAGTCTGGGATTGGCTTCACCATCCCTCCCTCATGCCAGCTGATGAGGCACTTTCATGCTGTGCCAACATGGTGGGTTCCTGCACCAAAGTAAGAAAAGACAAACAACAGCCAGGTAAGAGGGAGAGACAGGTGTGGCTGTGCCTGGACAGCAGCCACCGAGACCTGCCCATGGATGCAGACGAGGGTGTGTAAGGGAGAGGTGTCTGCCCGCCTTCCATGATCCCCATGGCAACAGGGATAGACTGTCTCACTGGAATGGAATCACAGGATCATTGAGGTTGGAAAAGACCTCCAAGAACATCAGGTCCAACCTTTCACTGATCTCCACCTCGTCAACTAAACCAGAGCACTGAGTGCCACATCCAGTCGTTCCTTGAACACCTCCGGGGATGGTGACTCCACCATCTCCTTGGGCAGCCTCTTCCAATGTTTAACAACCCTTTCTGTGAAGAAACTCCTCCTGATGTCCAAAATTCCTCCTGATGTGGCTTGTTGTGCCACGCTTCCGTGCTCAGACCTGTTTCAGCTGTGACTCAGTAAGTGAACACAACACAGACATTGACTTTCCAAGTGTGACCGAGGTGTCTGTGCAAACTCAGTGGGTGAGGGACACGCTGGGTTTGAACTGGTTGAATGATTTATTTTGGATCAAAGCTGGGGAAGGGTCTGGAGCACCAGGAGAAGCTGAGGGAGCTGGGGGGGGCTCAGCCTGGGATGCTCCTACAAGGTCAGTGAGACCAGGACTGAGACCAGGACTGCGAGGGGTCGTGAGGGACTGTGAAGGACTATGAGGGACCATGAGGGACCATGAGGGACCACGAAGGACCCTGAGGGACCATGAGGGACCACGAGGGACCATGAAGGGCCAAGACCATGAAGGACTGTGAGGGACTATAAGGGACCATGAAGGACCATCAGGGACCATGAAGGGCCAAGACCAGGACCGTGAGGAGCCATGAAGGACCATGACAGACTGCGAGAGACTGTGAGGGACCATGAAGGACCATCAGGGATCATGAAGGGCCAAAACCAGGACCGTGAGGAGCCACGAAGGACCAGGACAGACTGTGAGAGACCATGAAGGGCCAAGACCAGGACCATGAGGGCCCGTGAAGGACCGTAAGGGGCCGTGAGGGGCCATGAAGGACCGTGAAGGACCATGAGGGACCATAAAGGTCCGTGAGGGGCCGTGAAGGACCATGACAGGCCTGTGAGGGACCGTAACCATGAAGGATCGTGATTATGAAGGGCAGAGACTGGGACCGTGAGGGGCTGTGGTGGACCATGAAGAACCACGAAGGACCACGAAGGGCCGTGAGGGACCGACCATAAAAGGCCGTTACGGACCGTGCGGTGCCGTCCCGCGGCCGCCCCCAGAGGGCGCCGCCGGTGCCTCCGGAAGTTCCGGTGGCGGGGCCGGTGTGTGATGGCGGGTGATGGCGGCGGGGCCGGGGAGGGAGGGAAGGAGGGAGGGCCGGGTGGGCTCCATGCGGGCCGTGCGGGGGCTCGGGGCGGCGGCGGGGAGCGCTGGGAGGGCTGCGGGGAGCGGGGGCAGCCCGTCGGCTCCGACCCATCGTTAGGGCCGAGCGGCTGCTCCTCCCGGCCTGAAGGGGGAACGGCGCTGTGCCGGGGAGACTCGGCTGCCGTGTTTTTAAAGCTAAAGCAGCCCGAGCTTTATTAATTAATCAGCTCCGCGGCTCAGCTACCCCCTGTGCTTGGCCCCCACGGCACAGCCCGGCAGACTGATGTGGTAAAACGAGGAGGGTGTTTAGGGTGTCTCAGCCCGTCTTTTTTGGGGGGTCGGGGTTAAATAGAGAAGGCTTTTTTGTAAAATGCATGTTTGCCTCCGTAAATAAATGTTCTTATTTTAACAGTCATTGCTGGCTCTGCCAGTCAACAAAGTGAAACAAAATGTTAATATCACAGCTGAGTTCCCAGTTACTGAAGGCTTCGAGAATTGCAGGTAAAACTGGTGTTGTGGGACCTTATTTGTTTATTTATTTGGGTTTTTTTCCTGGGGTAATTTGTCTCAGAAATTTCTTTTCCGGGAAGCAATGACCAGGAGTGAGGAGGCTGTTGTTGAGTCAGTGGTTGCTGAGTGCTATCACCTCTCAGATCTATTATGTCAGGATTGAGTTGCTCTGACTTCACCTCTTCTAAGCCAAAGAGGAGATGCCTTAGCAAAGCAAAGGTTTGATACAGCAAACAGTTCATGGAATCACGGAATGGTTTGGGTTGGAAGGGACCTTAAAGATCATCCAGTTCCGACCCCCTGCCGTGGGCAGGGACACCTTCCACTAGACCAGGTCTGCTCAGTGAAGGAGAACCTCCACCCTGCTCTACCTGGGTGACTTGGGCAGTTCACACAGTAAAGTACAGTGTATTTTTAGCAAATGGCATTATAGCAGCGCAATTAAAATTTAGAAAGACCTCCTTGCTTTTGTGATGACAGTACAGGTTTTGTAAGGCTTTTCCTCTGTCACAGTGTTCTGGCCAGAGCTGCCTGGTGGTTTGAGAGCTGGGCAGAGCTTTTCTCGTGAAAATTCTGCCTTCTAAACGAAATTCTTTTCTCCTAAAGGCCACCTTTTGCCCAGGTCTGTGTCTTCCTTCCTTTGCTGCCGCTCCACGTCCGCCCACTACAGCACCCAGCCCCCCAACACGAGCGGGGCCCAGCCCCAGCAGTGGCACACCCTGGACCCTGAGCTGGAGGAGATCCTGATTCCCAGGAAACTCTCCATCAGCCCCTTGGAGAGCTGGCTGTCAGTGAGATATTCCCTTCCCGAAGCAGAGGGAGCTCAGGAGGAGGCGGGCCATGAGCCCCCCCAGGGGTCCGAGTGCCCCCCGCCCGCTGTGGGGGAAGGAGGGGGAGCCCCCGGGGGGACAGTGCAGTGCAAGAACGTCCTCAAGATCCGCAGGAGGAAGATGAACCGCCACAAGTACAAGAAGCTGCTCAAGAGGAGGAAGTTCATCCGCAGGAGGATAAAGGAGGGGCGCAAGAAGAGGCGTCAGGTGAGCTCAGGGAAGGGGGAATTCCACGGAGCGAACGTGGCCGCTCCTCAAAACCGCCCCTGTTCGGGTGTTGGGGGGATGTTTTTAAGTGGGATTGTTTTAAAGCAGCAGCTTGGAGAGCCTTAAATTCAGTGTTTAGCCCCGAGCTGTGCCAGGGAAGGTTCAGGTTGGACATCAGGAGGAATTTCTTCCTGGAAGGGGTGCTCAGGCACTGGAAGGGGCTGCCCAGGGAGGTGGGGGAGTGCCCATCCCTGGAGGTGTCCAAGGAACACCTCGATGTGGCACTCAGAGCTCTGGGCTGGGGGACAAGCTGGGGATGGGGCACAGGGTGGACTTGATGATCCTGAAGACCTTTTCTAACCTTAATGATTCTGGGATGGTGAGATAGGTAATAGGTGAAATTTTTCTTCCATGGCAGTAAATTACAAAAACATGTGGCTGATGGAAGAAGAATTGTGTTGTTTGTGTGAAAGATATGTCTGTGTTGTATCAGGGAGATTGGTTTAATCTTAATTTCTCTCCTGTCTTGCCAACATCCTCAGGTGCTTCCTGTTGTTTTATCCTATAGAGAAGCCTTTTTCTTCCATTAATAGGAGGGGTGGGGGAAGACATGGGCCTCTGTTCAAGCTGTGGATGTTCTCATTCAGCACTGCCTTTCAGTAGGGTTTGCTGTGATAGTTTCCTTCATTCTCTGCTAATTCTCACCTTGCCTGGATGCAAATTGGGGTTAATTGTAATTCCCTGTCTTCAGATTTGTAGGAGGCAGTGTTGAACACTTAATGATGAGAAAATCCTCTTAATTTTCTTCCCATTTCATTGTCCATCTTCTCACTTCTTCTTGCACGAGGCTTTTAAAATAATGCTACCACGATCCTTGTGCATTTTATTGTCTAATATTGTACTTTCTGCAGCAAGGTTAAATATTTTGTCACTTAAAACAAGCTGCTTTTGTCTCCTTTGTGTGTGTTACACTCAGATTGTCCTTGGGACTTGTGGGCAGTGGCTGTGAATGAATATTCAGGTGTTGCTTCTGGGCTGTGTTACCTTTCTTTTTCTTCTTTTTTTTTTTCTGTTTTAGATAAAATTCGAGAAGGATTTGGAGCGCATCTGGAAAAGGGCTGGTCTGAAAGGCCCTCCTGCAGGCTGGCAAACACCCAAGATATTCCTGAGGAGTACAAAGCGATAAAACCCCACCTGTCATGAGTTTTGACCTGTAATTGTAATTAAAAAAAAAATATTGCAGTACCTGGATGACATTTACCCTTTCTCTGAACGTGATGGAACGAGCAGGAAGGAGTTTTCCAAGCACAGACCTGATGGGAATATGCTTTTCCTCCCCAGAGGAGTTGGTGTGAGCTCTTTGTGTGGTGGTTTGGTGCTGCTCTGTGCTCTTTGTCTGAGCAAAGGTGTCCTGGGGCTGCAGCTGAATTTCTGGAATTCCTGTTTGATTAATTAGAGCATAAGAACAATCAGTGGTGGGAGATGGGATCAGTGGGAGGATTCTTCTTGGCTGTATATATGACACAAGCATTTGGAAAAGGTCAAAACTGCATTCTCTCATAGCCTTATTTCAGAAAGGCTGATGTTTTCTGAGAATTCTGGGGAGATAGGGGTTGGATCAGAATTCCATAGGATGTGTCTGTATCTGCAGAAGCTTTATCTGAAGCCTTGGTGTGCATGTGCCTTAGGCATTGCATGGACAACCTTAAAGGCACATTTGTGCTCTATTTTGTGCTAATAAAAAACTGTTATTTTTTTTTTCTTTGATTGACCCCTGTCACACAGAACATCCAGGTCT